TTGTTGCATGGCTTCTTGACCTGGTGTCGTTCCTCTAAGCTGCAGGTCTTCTAGTCTGGTGTCAATCCAACAAAGCATCTGGGAGGATCAGAATTTCCCAACCTGGTTGGTGGAAGATCCCATGATGCTGCCACATTTTAGGAATTAGGTCATCTGGGGTTGTTTTGGGTTTTTTTCCTCATAATGATTATAATATCTTTCTAAAATGTTTGTGATTTACAGTGAGGCCACATCTACAAGCTTCTGGTTTGGAGTGTGCCCTAACCAGGTAGAAGAGGAGAAGAGAAAGAGAAGAGAAAAGAGGGGTGTGTTGGTATTGCCATCTGGTGCTCCAGTGACAGGAGGAAGCTTTCAGCTGGTCCGAGCTTGTGCTCGTACCCAGAACTGAAGCATCTCCAAGAGAAGTCCCTGCATAGGAGCAGAATCACTGCTGTCACCACTCCCTGTGTGCCACATCTTCAAATCGTAGACTACCCCAAGTTGGAAGAGTCCAGCAAGGATCACTTAATCCAACCACAGAAGACCACACAAAATTCAAACTCTTGTGTCTAAGAGCATTGATCAAATGCTTCTTGAGCTCCAGCAGCTTGGTTTGCTGACCACTGCCCTGGGGAGCCTGTTCTATTCCCACTGCCCTCTACTGCTTGCTGTAGGAAACCCTCCCCTGGGCCTCCCATCTGCTCCTGGGCAGAAGGGGTGGTCGGTTGGTTGGTTGTACAGGGACAGGGCAAGGTTTCACAAGCCTCAAAGAAGATGGGGCCATCTAACCAGCAGGCTGCTTTCAGCACGTGGTGAGCTGCATCATCCCATGTACTGGGATGTACCAGGGGCTGCATGGCCATAAAACCCTACTTTCATGGTATTTTGCACTCTTGCTCTAGGTATAGGGGAGAGGATGAGGAAAAACCACCACAGAGGACAAGACATTGAGTTCTTTTGCCCCTGGAGCATCTCAGAGTGCTTCCCAGACACTGGCATACCGCGATGCATTCTCCAACCCACCATCCTCAAGGTCTGTAGAAATCAAGCCTGCTCCTCATTACCCCGTGCCCTTGAGCACCCAGGGGGGGCTCATCTCATGTCCCAAGTGTGGCTGCTCCGCGTCGTCCCGTCCTCACCACAACATTTTTGCTGGAGAGAGGCGAGCGGTACGGAGCGATGGCACTGCGGGAGCCCGGGGGTGGTATCAGCACCCGCGCTGTGCGCGATGTTCATTTGTTTGGGGTGCTAACACAACATGACAAAAGCCTCCTTTTTCATGCTGAAAAAATCGTCCCTTGCTAATTATTGGATTGCGAAACACGTTTCATAATCTAATGAATAATGGGGCGACTGTTTTTTGGTTGTTGTTTTTTTTTTTTTTTCTTCCCCCCCCCCCCCGTTTGTATCTGGATTTTTTCATTGTTTGCCCCACAGATCTTTCTTGGTAGGTTGAAACAGAGACGTGAAAAGAATGGGAAGGCTGGGTTTTATTTGTGCCTTGCCTGGTGAAGCTGTGACTTGGCTCACACAGTAAGTGCAAACAATTCTCTCCTGGCAAGCGTTCAGTGGAGACATTACTGATGACAGACTTTATTAACTGCAGGTTTTCTTGTTATTAAATTCCCTCTATGCTAGTTTCCGAAGCTGCTGGCCTGGCCGGCTGCATCATATTAGAATCTTTAGGAAGAAAGAAAAGAACAGAACATTGTATGCAGCGGAGCCAGCGATGATGAGATAGGGAAGCCAGCAATGCGCTTTGCTTTGGAAAGGGGACTCAAAGAGGTAATTAATGGCTACGTTTAAAACAAACATTAGTTTGTTTTATTGGGTTAATTCAAACCATCAGCCAAAGATTCCTGGTCTTTAGGGAGGCCAGGTGAAGCTGGGGGGTGGGTTCCCATGTCAGCACCAGCAGCATCGCAGGAGGCCAATGTATGTTGCGTTAATTGTTTGGGGGAAAAAACACCATTGAAGTACAGGCATGTTTCTAATTTCTCAAAGTTCTGTCTAAAAGTCTTCCCTGCCCCCTCCCACTCTAGCTATTTGTATCTACAGCACGCCACCAACGACTGCCTTTCTGTATGCAAAAGTTTTACAAAGCTTTAATTCCATAGTACCAAATGGCATCTAGGTCTCCAGTTTAGGATGAGAGGTGATGGCCTTAAGTTGTGCCAGGGTTGGGTATTAGGAAAAATCTCTTCTCCAAAAGAATGGATTGACACAGCTGCCCAAGGAGTGGTGGAGTCACTGTCCCTGGAGGTGTTCCAGAACCATGGAGATGTGGTCAGTGGGCATGGTGGGATGGGTTGGGGTTGGACTTGGGGATCTTAGTTGTCTTTTCTGACCTTAATGGTTCTATGGTTTTACCAACTCAAAAGGTTCAAATCACAGTACCAATTAAAGGGGCTGAGTTTACTGTGTCTGGATGCCAGGTATTTCCTGAAAATCAGGTCTTGTTGCAAGGTGTTCCCCTTCCAGATCCCATCAGATAGTGGTTTGTGGGAGGAATCCTGGCTGAAAGCTTTTCAGCATTTCACAGAGATGGGAGCTGCTCATATGTAATAAAGCAGGAATTGATCTACAGTAGCTAAAAAGGGAAAATAGGTTTTACACCAAAGATCTTTCTTTAGCATTCTTGTACTCAGATTGTCTTGAATGTTTAAGATGCTGGTTTCCTTCCATTGACCTAGATCAATGTAATCATAATTTCGCATCAACAAAAGCAGACCTCTGCCTTGGTTTGCAATCTGGGTTTGTAGTTTGGTGTTCTAAACACACTTCTGATATGGCTCAGGATGTTGAAGCTAATGATGGTGGTTAAACTGTTCAAGTTAGGCCTTAGGCCCAGGAAAGCTGTTCCCTCCACAAGATGAAAAAAATCACTGGGGGAAAAAAAAGGGTTGGCAGTTTTTTAATGTTCTAATGGGAAAATCTCATTTCGTCTCAGTTGTAGAGGAAAAAAGAAAAACTGTGTCTATAGCCCAGGTCAGCCAGTGAGTCCTATGGTTGGGGGGCAGGATTTCCAAGGGATGTAGAGCAGTGGTGTGCTGGAAGGTGCTTTACTTTCTGCCCTTAAATATTCTTCCCAGGAAATTTTAGTTCATGGCATCTAGAGGGTCAGCAAGGGCCAAAGCCCTCAGCTACTGCTAGGCTCCATTCCTATGTCTTTTGGCTATGAAGAATTGAAGAAAGGGAGGAGAGAGAATAACAAAATACTTATTTTTCCTCATTCTTCCCCTTGGGCTTTTTTACCACAGTTAATGATATTTGGTGAGAGTCCACGTTCTGCAATTTATCACTTTGGCATGCAGATCAAGGGACTGGTTGGGCTGTTGATCTCCTGTTTTTCCTCTGAGGCTACAATCTTTGTGTTACTTGGTTGTGTGCCTTGGAGCTCCCTCGTGGCTGGGACTTGAAAGGGGTTTTTCAGCCTCTCCATCCTTCCATTTAGAATCATAGGGTCACCAATGCTGGAAAAGACCTCCAAGATCATCCTGTCCAACTATCTACCTACCACCAGTATTTCCCACTAAACCGTGTCCCTCAGTACAACTAAATGTTTCTTGAACACCTCCAGGGTCGGTGATTCCACCACCTTCCTGAGCAGCCCATTCCAGCACCTGATCACTCTTTCAGAGAAGTTTTCCCTAAAGTCCAACCTAAACCTCCCCCTGGTGCAATCTGAGGCCATTTCCTCTAGTCCTATTGCTAGTTATATGGGAGCAGAGGTTGACCCCCTCCCCTCAGGTAGTTGTAGGCAGCCATAAGGTCTTCCCTGGGCCTCCTCTGCTCCAGACTAAATAATCTCAGTTCCTTCAGCCATTCCCCTTAAGGCTTGTTCTGCAGACCCCTCACAGCTTTGTTGCCCTTCTCTGGACACGCTCCAGGGCCTCAGTGTCTTTCCTGTAGTGAAGGGCCCAACACTGAACACAATACTCGAGGTGCAGCCTCACCAGTGCTGAGTACAGAGGGATGATTACCATCCTGCTCTTGCTAGCATCACTATTTCTGATACAAGCCGGGATGCCATTGGCCTTCTTGGCCACTTGGGCACTCTGCTGGCTCATGTTCAGCCAAGCATTGACTAACACCCCTGAATCGTTTTCCTCCATGCAACTTTCCAACCACCCTGCCCCAAGTCTATAATATTGTCTGAGGTTGTTATAGGCAAAGTGCAAGAACTGCCACTTGGTCTTGTTGAACCTCATCCCATTGGCCTCAGCACAGTCTGTCCAGATCCTTCTGAAGGGCCTTCTTACCCCCAGACAGATTGACACTACCTCCCAACTTGATGTCATCTGCAAAGTTACTGAGGGTGCATTCAACGCCCTCATCCAGGTCATCAATAAAAATATTGAAGAGGACTTTTCTGGCACTGAGGTCAGGCTAACAGGCCTGTAGTTCCCAAGATCCTCCTTACCACCTTTCTCATAGATCAGAGTCACACTGGCAAGCCTACAATCGTAGAATCATAGGATGGCTTGGGTTGAAAAGGACCACAGTGAGCATCCAGTTTCAACCCCCCGCTACGTGCAGGGTCACCAACCAGCAGACCAGGCTGCCCAGAGCCACATCCAGCCTGGCCTTGAATGCCTGCAGGGATGGGGCATCCACAGCCTCCTTGGGCAACCTGTTCCAATCCTCTGAATCCTTGCCACTTGACCAGGAATGTTGATAGATGATGGAAAGTGGCTTTCCACACTGGGGCTGTATGGCCCTTGGTAGAAAAAGACTAAGTCCCTTCCCTGGCATGCTCTGAGCTTCTGCAGTGGAGAGGCACCATAAGTCCTCTGCACAAAGCTATCACCAAGCTCTCAACTATTCCCAGTTTCACTGGATTTGTGCAGGCCTCTTGCTGCTCCAAAGGTAGCAACAGCCCATTTCAGCAATGTCCAGTGTCCTGGAAATATTGGAGGATTTTCTCTCCTGGGTAAGTAATAAATCCTCCCAGTCAAAATCCTCCTGGTGGGCCTTGCTGTACATTCATTTTCTGTAAGCCTGACTACAATCTGAGATAGCTTTATCTCCTGTCTGGCTCTGCTGATAAACTAAACTGCAGGAGAAATCTATACGCACATGAAACCATCCAGGGCAATAGATGTACAAAACGTGTCCAAAAAAAATGCATGTATCTATCACGATGCATCTGACCTGAAAAAATTGTCAGAAAACTACAATCAAGGAAAAACAACTCCACCTCCCTTTCAGAATGTGGGACGTGACTGTTTCAGGCCATGTTTTGTCTGGGAGTGTCCCTCCCCATCTGGTGAACACAATGAGGATTGTGTCTCAGGTATCTTGAAACTATTTTGCTACTGTTGGCCAATTTAGAGGGGAAAAGCCATGCACAAAAGGGTCTAAGTGATTTGGCTCCATTAGCTATGATTTATGAATCCTAATTCCCAGTTTACTAATCGCAGGATCACACAATGGCCGTGACTCCAGAAATTGCTTAAATATGTTCCTCTGCTCTACTGGATGTTAAACGTGCTTAAAAATAGATCGTAGAATGGCTTGAATTGGAAGGGACCTCAAAGATCAACAGGTGGTCCATTTTTGAATGAGGAACATCCTCAATTTGGGCTTCTTAAAAGCAAGCTAGGTTTTATATTACTTGGATTTACCCTTTGCTTTGTGTTTACCTGCTCTGAGGAGGGAAGTGTTCGGAGAAAGGAGGCAGAGCTGAAGTCTGAAAAATTCTGAAGTTTTGAACACTCTCTGCTCAAAGTCCTCCCATGAGATGGGGGGCTGCAGGAGCTGCCACGCGGGGTCTTCTGGCCAGTGGGTCTCAATGAAGTGCTCAGGGTCGGTGAGGAAGAAGAAATCATCATGCCTGCAAGGGGAGAGAAAAGGATGTCATGGAGGGAGCAAGAAAACACTTTGCATCCAGGGCACTGATAATGATGTACCTCTGTATGAGAAGTGAGGTTCCCCCACACCATCAGAGTGGAACCAACATCAGGAAGGGCCAAGCTTTTGTTTAGGCTTTCCAGATTAACTGTGTTACAGTACTTAGTAATTTTGCTTTCCACGTACCCAGTCCTGTGACCTCTTCCAAGAGTTTACCCATCTTTTGTTTTGTTTAGAAGAAAAAACGCATCACAATTTGAACGTGCTCAACCTGACCTTCTGGGTACCACCTCTGCTTAGGTATCTGTTGAGTGAGTCAACCTTCACCCTTGTGTTGGGTTTGTGGTGGGAAGCCTTGTTGTGTCTGTTGATCTGATGGTTCTGAGAACACTGACATTCACCCTGCCCAGCCAGATCCAGGACCAGATCCCCGAGGGGATGGACCCACAAGAAGCTGTTATCTCTGCCTGTTGCCATAGGTGATGTTTTAGTCTGCTTCTGCTCAGTTAAAAGCAGCCCATACTCCCTGGCGTTATAAACTGTTCTCAGCAAGATAATTACCTACTAGAAATTCCACAATTATTTCATTATGCATTATTAGGGAGAAAAAAAAAGAATTAAAAATGTCAATCCCATAATGTAGTTAATGGAAATTATTAAATTGTATAAATAACCTCTGTGAGAGTCATTATTGGCTTAGCATGGGCTAAGAAATCTCAAGTAATTATGTGTGGAGCCACATCAGACCAAAGTTTCTGTAAAAACAAGGATTTGTTATGTCAAAAGTGACGCTGGCCACAAATAAAATAAGTTGGTGGGGAGTGGAGGTGGTTATCATCCGAGAAGTTGCCACTACAGCTCAGGGAGTAAGGATTTGGATGTAGTAGGTGTTTATGTGTAGACTGTCTATTTTTGCACAGGGTTCCCGAGCAACCACTGTGGTTAAAAGTGGACCATCTGCAAGCAGTATCTGGGGATGCACCTGAAATGAGAGCTCAAGACCTGGCAAATCTGGTAAGTAAGTGTCTACCAGAAGGCTTGGGATGGCCATTTCTGAGGTCAGGTTGAGCCTTGCCCACTTGTGTTGAGAAACATGTCTCCAGAGGTGATGGGATGAGGTTGTCTCACCTGGGCACAAACAACCTGTTCTCTGTGTCCACAGTGCCTGCACCCCAGCAGGCATCCAGGAGCCACCACTGTCCTTCCAGCTGCACTGCGTTCCACATGTGGCTGCTCTTCTGCTGCTGGCACCACTGACCTCCACGGGCACACGGGCCTCGGCTGAACCCTGGGATCTCCACGCTGCTCAGACCTGCCTCCCTGCCATGGAGAGACAACAGGGAGAGGTAACAACACACCAAACACTGCTTGGTACCTGCTTTTTGGAAACCAGCCCACCCTCCGTGGTAAGTACAGCCTCCTTAAAGCCAAGGCCCTGCTCTGCTTGTGCCAGATGTTGGCCAACTTCAACAACCCCCCTGCTCGCTCCAAACCCTTGTTCCTCATATCTTTGATTGTGGTTGATTTGCCAAACTCGTATCTGCTCTTCCACCCAAGCAGAAAAGAAGGGAGGCAACTTCTGTGCCCAAAGACATGGTGGGGAAATGGTTTCAGCATCTGCTGGAGTTCAAAAGTATCTGAATAGTGCTCTCAGATACATGGACTGATTTTTGGGGGGTCCTGTGTGGAGCCAGGGGTTAGACACAGTGATCCTTACTGGTTCCTCCCAACTTGGGATACTCTATGATTCTATGCCGGTTGTGGGGTAGCGCCCATCCTATCTTAATGTTCCCCTCTCATATCTTCAAGGCAGCAGGAGAAGAAAGCCCAAGGCGAGTTTTACCTGCACATTTCCCAGCATAAATGAGCATATCCAGAACACACGGCTCTCCCCGTCTGCAGGACCTGCTCTGGCATGTGGATCTTCTGAGAGAACCCCAGGAAGCCATCCACATCATATTCTAGGAAAGGGAGAATACCACCCAATTTCAGGCTAACGTAAGGATTTATTATTTCCAAAACGATCCCATGCCTTCTCCTGCCCAACCCTGTTTCTCTGTCTATCCTCCCTGGAAGCCATGACAGCTCTTGTCCAATCATTATTCAAGAGTTTGACAATTCCCCATATGTGCAAAGAATTGCTAAAGCCTTGGGGGAATTGGGTTCTCAGCACATGTAAATAGTGGTTGAGCCATTCAAGTGAGGTACAGTGACAGTCATATTGTCTTGCACACATGGATGTAGTAGGGTAAAGTAGCACGAAGTGACTGCATTGTGCAGAGATCCCGGTGTCCCCAGATGACTGCTAGAGGCATAGCTCAGTTTCCTTGAATTTGCACCATGCACGCATTGGGAAAATGCCCTCCAATGCATTGAAACTGAGAGCCTTACTGGTTTCTCTTTGGATTTGGGGCTCACACGGTGGGTTGTGCCTTAAAGCAGGTGTCATTTTCAGCATGGAGGCGCTCAGTTTGCAACCAGTCCCCATCCCAGGCACCTTCCCAAAGTTGAGAGGGGAATATTTCAATTTGTGTTTGCAAGAAGAACACTGTAGAATCTATTCTGCAGGACACGAAGAGCCAAAATCCAGGAGGTTGCATTGAAGGAAAGGGCTCTCAGCCCCACCACATGACTGTGAAACAGTGGGACCAGACTTACCAATGTTATGGCAAAGCCAGAACCATATGGCCCGCACCATCTCCAGTTTGCTCTGGGATTTGGCAGTGATCAGGGGAACGATGGCCTGGACCGACATCTTGGTGTGCCCCGATTTCAGCTGCAATGGAGAGGACAGGTGAGATGAAGGCACTCTTGGTGTCGTAACTGCATGGGTCAGTGACTGCTGACACGATGGGCTTGCAGGAAGGAAAAGGTACATCACAAAAACCCTGAAGCTTCACTTCTCTCCCTCTAGAACTGGAAATCCAAAAACATGGTTTATGGTAGAACATGTCTCCATTTTCCTACGTTTGATCTTAAGGACTGGAATTGCTGTTTGGTGGAAATGAAGGTTTCCCATTTCTTTGCCCAGAGAGTCTTGTGGTAGATATCTCTCTTGGTGTAAATGGTGTAAATCTGCAACATATAACTGGGGGAAGTGTGTTTCCAGCCCCACACCAAATAATGTCTCAGTGCGTTGTCCCTGGAGGTATTTAAGAACCATGGAGATGTGGCACTGAGGGATGTGGTCAGTGGGTATGGTGGGGGTGGGCTGGGGTTGGGGATCTTAGAGGTCTTTTCCAACCTGTATGATTCTATGAGTCTATTTGTGCAGAAGAGAAGCATCCATGTGGCTCAGATCCTCTTCTTGACACTGTGAAAGCAGTCAAACTCATGCTCCAAAATGGGTGGAAGGAATTGCTTCTACCACTACAATTTCACCTATTTCTTAATCCAAAGAAAGCTTTTCTGCCCCTTTCCTCCCATTCACTCATCCACATTCCTGGGCTCTTCCCTCTTTTGTGCTAGCACAAATATTTTTAGCAATAGATTTTTCTTCCACTGGCTATATTTAGTCCAGCTCAATTCTACAACCTCCTGCCCCTGCTGTTTCATTCCTCAATGACTTTCCTGCCCTAACCAAAGCTGGAAATCTCTTTTTTTTTTTTTTTTTTTTTGCGTATGGGAAATGTAGCATTTGTAACAGCTGAATATTTTCCTTGTGATGCTGAGTTTAAAAATGAAGATGTGACTAGAGAGCAATTATTTTAAAATGATGGTGCTCTTGCTGTTCCCTTGCATTTCCATTATGATGTTGTCATGATTGTGCAGCTGCTGGGCAAACAAGTAATGATAATTACTCCCAAGGAAGAAGAAAAAAGTACTCATCCATTAGATACCTAGCTACTTGCTTCCCTGCTGGCACATCTTGGTGCAAAATTCAGTCTATGAAACTCTGTTTCAATCAGAAATAGCAAACTTAGGTCCTAGATTGAGAGTTACAACATCCCCAGGTGATCCTGGTCCTGAATACTCCTAGGACTCCTGAAGAATGGGTCAGAGCATCTCAGTTCATGAGAACTGCTGGCTCTACAGAGATATGTGGAGCAGGAACTGATGTGGGTTCATGCAAACAGTCTCCAAACTATTAGTAGGTGTCCAGAAAAGGGGTTCAGCTCTGCACCTATACTGCCCAGGGTGTTCCATCAAACAGATGCATGGGAGAGAGGGGAAAATACTACATTCCCAGGGCACCACCAGCAAAACAGCATCTGCCACCAGAGATGCAATACTCAGTGAGCTGCTCTGTTGCTGGTCTTGGCACATGTAAATCCCATGTAGGGGAAAAAGGCCAGGTGCATCAGATTTTAATTCAGCAAGAACCTTGGATAAACAGGGAAACAAACTGTTCCCACTGCCTTACAGGTATTTTCAGTTGGTTATTATCCTCTCTCCCTTCTCTTCCAGCTCCCTCTCCCTCTCTTTTCCTCTTAATAGACTTGGTAGACTCTGAACCACAACAGCATCCTTCTTCCCAAGGGATATTAGCCTCGGGCTAGGTAGAAATTGCAAGTTTCAACTCTAACGAAGAGCACAATTATTCCTTGTACCTCTTCACTCTCACTAATGAGCTGACGTGTAAGCTGTGAGTTCACTGCCCAGACAAATCGTGCTGTCCCTGGGGGAGAAATTGCAGCAGCAGCGTGTGGTTCAGGTAACGGGAATTAAGAATTTGATGCTCTCCTTATGGGCTCCCAAGCACCCGGAAAGGGGGAACATCATATAGCAGGGCACAGACTGAGATGAGGACACAACTGAAGCCTTCTGCTTAAGAAAAATAAGACTCAGGCTGCCACAGATATAAAGAGATTGCTGGATACAGCTTTACTGTGGCTGTTGTTGGCTGTGTGTGTTTTTCTATTCACTCTGGTCACTGGCTCCTATCTAGCTAAACACAGCCTATCCTGCCTTGGGGTATCCTGTGGCTCCTTTCTCTCCCCATTGAACCCTTCCAGAAGGGTTTCCAGGTAGAATCTTAATACAATCCTGCTTGATGTCCTGGCACAGAGACCTTTGGCCACAGTTAGGGTAATTTCACCCTCCAGGTTCTTGAGGTCACTAGGCACCATCTTGTCATCAGAACAGACACTAAAAGTTGAATATTAGAGCATGGATCTGCTGAGGGTCTGCAGGACCTACCTGCTGGCTCACATGGAGGACGTGAGAGTCTATATGGCTGAAAACTTTCGTGTCAGAGAAGAGATCTCTCCTGGTCTTTCTTTGGGGTTTTTCAGTCTGATTCTCTTTTAAGCTGAATCCTTCCTGGGGAAGGAGAGCTGGAGAGGAATTTCCTGCAGTCACAGATGACTTCTGCAGCAGCTTTGGGAAGGTGCTGCTCCTTTTGCTGCTGTTGCTAACTTTGTTGGCCCAAAACAAGAAAACATCCTTGGATGGGGAATCTTTGGGCTCATTTCTCACTTTTTGCACAGCTGAGGCTTTCTTTAATACCCCATCCTTGTTTCTGTTTGCATTGCTGTCCTGGTGGGGGATTTTCTCTGAGCTATTGTGGTTGATCTCTTCAGAAACACGTCCCAGGCTAAAGCTGCCATTACAGACATCTGACATCTGAGCTCCTCTCTGACCAGGAGAAACGTCATCTGCCTGGGATGGCATCGTGTTGTCTTCATGGTTCTTAGGATGGACCCATTTTGATGTAATTTGTGTGGGTTGTTTTTCGTGATGGTCCCCATTCCTGGAGTGTGGGGAGAGAATCAGCTCTCTGGCTTTGATGACGTGGGTTTTGGATGGCTTGGATCCATCAGGGCTGGTCTTCATTCGTGCAGTGGGTAAAGGAGGAAGAAATCACAAAGTCTGTGGATGGAAAAGCAGATGAGTTTTTTTTTTACAAAAGAAGCCCACCAGTCAGTATGGTTGGTTGGTTACAGTGAATGGGGCTAATGGGAGTTAGCCAAAAGTAGAATCATAGAATTATAGAATCGATTGAATTGGAAGGGACATTCAAAGCCCAGCTCAGACTGATCACATAGCATTTCTCCTTGCCCCCAGAAGCAGGAATCAAGGAGAGCAAGGAGTTCATGTAATTAGTGTTTCAGTGCTCCAAAGAAGTTCATCTTTCAGCACATCTTTCCTTTTCCCCAACCTCCCACCCAAAGTGTTTTTTTTATTTGCTGGGGTTTGCTTCTGCCATCCAGGGCCTGCAGAAATACTGTCACCCTTTACTTTATCACTTTGCACTTGAAATGCAGCTGAGACGAGTGAGAAGCCTGCAGGAGAAAACAGGTGACAAAGTGGGAGGTGGAATCCAGAACTGATGGGGTTATTGGGTTAAAGCTGTGGGCTGAGCCAGCTCTCACGTGCTCTCAATGTTTGCACAGCGCTCTCTGGTTTTATCTTGGTTTAGCTCCCATTCGCTGTTGTTGTTTTTAATCATGAAATGACTGTTTGTGCCATGCAAATAGCAGAGCCTGCTGTGAGCCACTTAGTGTCGTCCAGAACTGTCACTCTTCACATCCAGCCTCTCCCACGCTGGCTTTTCAACATCTGTGCCAGGCGCTGGCCTCGCTCTTCCAGGAAAGCGAGATGTCACTCATCCCTGATTATCCTCTCTCTGCTTGGGATCAGGCTTGTGAGGGTAGGACAGCCTCATCCAGATGGGATAACACTCCATGCTCACCAATTATAGGCTGCTCAGGGAGGTGGGGGGGTCACCATCCCTGGAGGTGTTCCAGAACCGTGGAGATGTGGCACTGAGGGATGTGGTCAGTGGGCATGGTGGGATGGGTTGGGGTTGAATGTGGTGATCTTGGAAACCTTCTCCAACCTTAATGAGTCTATGAGTCTATCCTTTTTCTTTCTTTCTTTCTTTTTTTCTTTGCCATTAATGCATGTATTTATTAAGACCATATAAACAACAGCAATGGGTTAATTCAGTGCTGGATGCTCAAAACCATAGGTTGCCCCAGTGGGATGCTGTACCCTAGGGAGATCCTCCATGCCCTGAGAATGAGATATTTGTCTTTGCAGGGCTGCTGTGGGGTTTCTGTACTACCTGTTGAGGTTGTACATTCCCTATTTACTCCCAGTCCACAGAGACAAACTGTTAGTGCCCAGCTGTTGACACATTCGAGTTGTCCTTGTGCATGCGCAGACACCCGCTGTCACAGGCACAAAGGCATTTCACCTGCCACTTTTTAAGTGAGCAACAAGAGGCCACTTCTGAGCCCTTCATGGCCATTACCTGACATGAACCAGCACTGACCAACTCAAGAAATAAATCCCAGCAGGCCCTGGGATTTACAGCCTTTCTCTACTTGCTTTGGCACGGCTTGGAGACTGGTTGGTTTGCTAAGCCTCAGTTTTGCCCCAACCCTTCTTTCTCACTCTGTGCACACCTCCCTGTGATGCCTTCATGTTTGGGATGGGAATCAAGAGGGGCTGCAGTGCACGACCACTCAGAAATAGCAGAATGGCCCATAGGACTGAAGATGGACCTACCCACGTGCTCAGTCTTATTTTAAAATGTCAGAGAACTTTCACTGGGGATGAAAACAAGCATTTTATTTCAATTCTGTATCACTCATATATTTAGGGCTTTAAAAGAAATTTAAGTGAAAGCATCACTTTGACATCTCTGAAGTTTTCTCTCTCCTTGCCTTAAATGGATCCTTCTGACAGCCCATCTCAGAAATCCCCAAATCATTGCTTATTGGAAGCTGGAGAAGGGAAGAATAGAGGACTGCTGCTTTCTTACTTTTCCCCCCCAAACTTCATCCAGCATTCCCCCAGCGATGCCTCCACATTAACCCATGAAACGCCAGCTTTAGAGGTGCTGTTTCATTCCCGAGTTGCTGCTGCAGGGGGGCAACAAGAGCAATCTGCTCTGATTTGAATGGGAGAAGAAGTCCGGGGACGGTTGTGCTATCAGCAGGCTCTCAACTTTGTTCCTGGACTGCCCTGACCATAAGTGTGACTCTAAAGCATCGCCTTATCACAGGCTGCTCTGTGCAGTTTTGATGTCAGGAGGATGGAAATTTGCAACCGTGGCAGCTTAGAGATATCATGGGTCAAATAGAAAATCTCCACAATAGGAGCAAAGAGAGGCTGCCCAACATCTCTGCAGCATTCTCCTATAGGAAATAGCCTGGTAGGGCGTGCAGAGGGAATGGAGAATGCCATGGGTTGGGGGGAGGAGGAGATGGTGGTCAGGGGATGGGAAGAATCAGAGGGGACAGAAGAGAAAAGCCATGCTGGATCCCATCCCCATCAGGTGGGGACATGGCATGTGAGGAAATGGATGGGGGAAAGAGAACTTGTGCAGAAGAATGGCAAAAAAAAGATGGGAAATAACCCCAAAATGGGGCTGATTCTACTCACCCTGCTCACGACCCGGCTGCAGCTCCCCACTGCTTGCAGAAGGCAGGCAGCTCCCAGCAGCCCCATCCCTTATATACACGTGCCAGGACAGGGATGGCTCTGTTTTTTGCACCTTGCTCATATCAAGAAGGCTAAAAATACTATAAAGAGCCAGCAAGCAAGCTAAGGTTGCTGCCTCCAACCAAAGCCTGGCACTTCTGCAATGTATGGGCTGGAGTGTATTTGCAGGGAGATAGGAGAGAGGGAATAGACTTTCTCTTATCAACATCCAAGCTTTGGCAGGGCAGTGGGGACTGACTGCCTGCCAGCTCTTGCAGCTGCCCGTAGGTTCGGGTGTTGCTGCAGCCTTGTTCCTATTCTGGGCATCTTTTCCTACTCTGTAGGTTTTTTACATAACTTGGTACGTTGGGAAATCTTCAGTGCACACTGGGAATAAGAACAGCATCTCATGGAGATGAGCAATAATGTGCAGCGTGGATGTTGGAATATTGTTCTTGGTTATTATCTAGCTATGTTCCACTAAGTGGCATCGTATCCCTTGTTTCTGTCTCTCTCATCTCAGGTCCTGATATTGAAACTTTTCTTGATCAAGCAGAAAATATTAAGAGGGGAAATAGAGTTGCCAGCTGAATGGGTGCCTATTCTTGGAACAAAAATTCTCAGTATTTGGCTGAATGTGGGGAGGAAAAAAAAAAGAGAGAGAAAAAGATTTCTTTTGGAAAAGAGGAGAGATTCTGTGTAAAATATGCCCAGATCTCAGTTCCCAAGCTCACCCCCTTTGCCTGGGGTGCAGAACCTACAGCCTCCCCGTGCATCTGTCTTCCCCTGCTCTCCCTCTTAGTATAGAATTGGTGTCATTTAGGAGGTGGCCAACCCCACACCCAGCAGTTGGAAAGCACACAACGTTTCATTTGTATGCCAGCATTGAGACCACCCTAATTTGTAGAAAATGGTTTCAAAATGGGATTTTCACAGGGAGCAGGACTTGGCACTGGGAAGCTGCAGGAGACGGTGGTGGATCTTTGGGGTAAGAGTCTGCAATGCCATAGCATAAAGATGTTTCCAGTTGCCTATGGCCATTAATTGGGTCTGCTTTGCAGTGTGACCCTCCATCCATCTCTATCCAATCCAGAGGTTACTGATGTGCTGCAGAAGTATCTAGAAGGCAAAGGATGATAATAAACGTGGCTGTGGGACTCTTGCTAGATGAGACAAGAGTGGGCACTTAGTGTTACCTTAGATAACAATGGCCAGTCATTTATTGTCTATTTCCAGAAAGTGAATGGAAAGAGAATCAAGATTTAGAAAGAGTTGACCTAATCAAGGCAAGGACCTAAAAATACTCTTGCAGAGAGTTGTTTTGCATGTGAAATAAAGGCAAATTTGCATCAGCCAAGCCCAGATGAGAGGCAATGGCTATAACCTTGTGTGGGTACGAGGGCTGTGTGGGTGGACAGGAGCACTTATTAAAACGCCGTGTGGAAACAGCGCAGGCACCAGATGTTCAAGAAGAAATGTCCATTCCAAATAGGGCTGTTTCTGATTAGATCTTCGTATGTGTCATGAAGAGCAGAGAACAGGTATCTATGTTGAGGTGTAGTTGTAGATGCGTGTTCATGGGCTGGGCCAAGGCAAATTTATCTATGCTGTCCTCACCGTGGTTGTGCTGCATGGTAGAGGGCTGATAAATAGTCCCATTGGGTTGGTTGTAGCCCTTGGACCACATGCATCCCTGGACAATGGCATCACTATTGGAGAACAAGGAGAAATTTCAGGTAGACAAGCACCTACCTTTCTCTAAACCGTGCACACCTCACCACAAGCAACGTGGGATCAGCAGGATGGCAGCCCAGCACCGTGCATTCACAAGAGCTGGCCAAGGCATGGGATCGTGGCAGCCCTTCTGCAGCCTTCTCCTGCAGAGCGTGGTTGAGAAGTCATTTTCATTGTAATTTTTATTTTATTTGTGAAGACTTCCAGACTCAGGGAGTCTCTTGGCTGGAAAGCTGATTTGGAGGTTGTTTTTTTTTTTTATTTTTTTATTTTATAAAGTACTCAGCAGGAATCCAGAATTTAAGAGACGCAGAAGAATTGCTCACTCTTCAGATGTTGGCAGCGAGCTGCTTTTCCAGTTTATTTCCCTGGAAAGAGAGGATGAATACATGGAAATAAAGCAGAGGCTGTATTTTAAAATCCTCCAGGCCAGCACCTTCAAGTGATGCAGGTCTATGCTGGCTTCCTTATCTGGCAAACCCAACACAGAGCAGGCAGGAAAATCCACAACTGCTTTGGAAACCAGCATGATGGGGTGTGTTTGAAGGACAACACAGAATCATAGAATCATTACAATTGGAAAAGAGCTCCAACCCATCCCATCATGCCCACTGACCATGTCCCTCAGTGCCACATTTTCACAATTCTGGAGCACCTCCAGGATGGTGACCCCACCACTGGAATGACCATTAAGAACATGGGATTTAAGCATGCATGGTTGAGTTTGCCCATGTGCAGCACAAAGCTGGAGATGCTGTGGTGCAAAGGTACTTTTTAAGGGACAACAGAGAAAATAATCAGACAGGTCTGTCACCGAATTGTTTCATCTTATGCATCACTGTCTTCGAGCTTTTTCAAGTGTTTTCTTTTTAATGAACAGTGATTTTTTTCACAGGCTGAGGAAAAAAAACCAAAGCTTTTGACAGTTCCTTATGCCATAATGTCTTTCCCTTTTGTTTTGCTATTCCTTTCAGGTGAACACTTGAACCAGAAATGAGTCAAAAGCACAAAATCTCCTACGGAGACTGGGCACGTTCTGCTTCATGAGCTCCCAGCACTGGCACCTCACAACAGCAAAGATGTGTTTGAGGTGACCCTAAAAGCCACCGCCTCCTGGCACCAATCTGTCTCAAAATCCTTTGAAGCTCGGGTAAGTATTTAACTGACATCACTGAGTTGGATCTGGTATTATTGTGCTGGAAATGTCAGGTTTCTGCAAAATGAAGGTGGGTTTGTGTTGGGGTGGAGTGGGGAAACACAGCCAAAAATTAGAGTGCACACTGTCTTAGTTGCATTTCCACACTTGGCTACCCTGCTGCATATCTTCCACAGGGAGGTGGTGGAGTCACCATCCCTGGAGGTGTCCAAAAACTGTGGAGATGGAGCACTGATGGATGTGGTCGGTGAGCACAGTGGGTTGGGTTGGACTTAGACTCAGGGATCTTAGAGCTCTTTTCCAACCTCAATGATTCCATGATCTTACCATGAGCTCACTGTGGTCCCTTGTAGTGTTTCCTGAAAATCTGGGAATACAGCAGTAAGATCATTTTGGATGTTAGTTATCTAGCTTGGGATGTAGAAAGTCACCACAGAACCACAGAATAACCTTGAGTATGAAGGGACCTATGGGCATCATTGAGTCCAACCCCTGCCTAACCATGGGTCAACTGATACACAGGGAGATGCTAAGGTTGCCTGCAGGTCTACCAGAAACAAACTGCCCACACTTCTACGTGCAGAGAGACATAATTCCCCAAGGTGTATAACGGCAAATAAGCATCCCAGCTGCACAGGCAGTGCTCACCATGTCATGTCTTCTAATCCTCCACTGCTTCTTGACTGCTTTTCACTTATTGTAGTCATGTCTGAGATGGAGCGAGCAGTGCAGGCTGTTAGAAGAAGTGTACTTCCAGAAATACATTGCTTTTGTTTATTTTCACTCATCCCTGCTTTGCAAGGATGGAGTGTGTGGGAAGGACAAATGATCTGTCCTTGCAGATTTAAATAGAGGAAGAAAATAAATGGTATTTGAATATATGGTCTTGCTTGAAAATGAGAAAAAAATGGATTTTGAGCTGAGAGATGGCTTTGCAAGGAAAATGCCTGGTTGCCAGACTCTGGCACATCCTTCAGCCAGAAGAAAGCTCTGAGATGAGTTCCCACCCCACCTCCAGGAGTTTCAAGGTGCAATTCACCTTCTGCAGGAGTTTGCACGTTGGTATGGCAATTGGTTTGACTTTGTTTGCTTCGTGGCCTGGTGGTCCCAAAATAACAGAGAAGGAACCACGGATGCCATCTATTGGAGACGTGTAGGAAGGGAGAAGACAGGCTTGTCTTCATTTGCGTGGGTGATATGCTACTGCAAACAGACTGGTGGTTACAGCTCAGTACTTCCATCTCGAGTGGGTAGGTGACAAAAGTGCCTTGTCTCTACCTCACAGCAATAAGGCAAAGGGTACAGCCTGCAGTATGGGATGTTCGATGTAAACATTGTCTAGTCAAAACCTCATGGGGAGTGGGGCAATAAAACAGGACAATTTCTTGACAGTGAGTGGTTTGCTGATGTCTGGGCAAAGGCAAAGGGTGAAGGCCGTGGTGGTTGAACTCACACATCAGTTTTGGAGCTGTGAAAACAGAGATTTGCTTCTTTCCTGGTTTGGGGGACCAAGGCAGCACATACAAATTAAAGAATTGTGGAATCATAGAATGGCTTGGGTTGGAAGGGACCTCAAAGATCATGGGCAAGGTTGCCAATCACTAAATCAGGCATCAGCTCAGGCTGCCTAGGTCCCCATCCATGGCCTTGGGCACCTCCAGGAATGGGGCATCCACAACACCTCTGGGCAGCAGTGCTGGAGCCTCACCACCCCTTTTGCTGTTGGACTGAGATTCAGGACTGAGATGCGTCCGCAATAATGTTCACATGGTGGCAATGCTGTTATCATAGTTCTTATTCTTCACGAATTTCCACAGGCTCACTGAACACCATTGTAAACTGCAGGATCCCTGGAGAACATGAAAATTAACTGCAGTTACCAGTGGGCAAAACCCAGAAATTCCTTTTTGCTGAAATGTCCAATTCTGTGGAAAACAGTGATGCAGAATTACAGACTTTTAGAAAAATAGGAATCCTGAAAAAAAAAAAAAAAGTTCAGAAATTATCCTTCTTGGCTCCTTTAAAGCTGTCTGGGTGTTAAGCTTCTCTAAGAGAGATCAGCTTCTCTCTTTCTTTTAATTTACACTCAATGCTACTCTAATTAGCATTGAGTGAAACAGCTTCTTTTACCATCTAATCCAGTGTGTCAAACAATTCCCTTCCAGCAGCGAGACACCCCTCAGACGAGCAGATCAGACGTTTCATTTGAGCAGGAGCTGCTCTCAATATTGCAGAAAACTGATCGCAGGCCTGAATAAAAGGAGACAAAATACGGAGCCGAACAGTCAGGCAGGCAGGAGAAACCCAATCACCCAACCTTTTTCCCAGAGAGACCATTCGATGCATTTTTATTCCTTTTCTAGCAAATTAATTGATTTTTTTTATTATTATTATTATTATTTTTCTTTTCCAAGAGAAATTTCAGTTTTGCTGAAAGGTTTTATTTCTGAGCAGCTGATGCCCAACTGGGAAGCTCTTTGCAGTGGAGCACAGTGCAGCCCCAGAAGATGGAGAGCACAGTCAGTTTTCTGCCTGTTTTACAGACCAGACGGTGTGACTACCCTTAATTTTTCTCCATGCTTCATGGTCTGGTGGTTGGCGACCTTGTAAAAGACATAGCAGGGGGTTTGAAACTAGATGATCACTGTGGTCCTTTTCAACCCAGGCCATTCTATGATCACTGACTCATAGGAGCTGCAATTCCTTCTGTGGAGCATGAGCTCCCTAGTAAATTCAATACAACAATCTAAAAGAAAAAAATCCCATTTTAAGTTTAAACATAACCGAAGATTAAAGCAAGAGCGACTTATGAACAATATAGCATTCTTCCTTCTGAGCAAGCAAACAATTGGAGACTCCAAGGATATTCCTGATTTAGGTAAACCATGGCTCTCCAAGCCTTGCATGCTGTCCCTAATGGGACAGTAGCACCATCCTTAGAGGGACGCAGTTGTGAAAAATGTCTAAAATAGGATAATACAGTGTTGAAGCACTGACTGTGATGGTGTGCTTGCTGCAGTGGACCTGGACACCTGCTGGGCTTTGGGGGTAGGACTTGAAGCTTGGTGTCCAGTGAGTGCTCCAGCAGTAGAGGTGATCAAGGGCTGAGCTGGGAGGGCAGCCTTCGCTTCTGCCTTGGATCAGAAGTGCTCCCATAGCATGATAACCATTTATTATTATTTTTTTTCAATTTTCTTTTGGGCAAGCTGAGATTTTCTAAGAAAAGAAAAGAAGACAGATTCCTGATCTACTCCAAACCTGTGCCAGTTTCTACCCACTTGTGCAAAAGATGTGGGCAGCGACGGTCAGAGGACTTGTGGGACCAGACTGAGAGTGAAAAACAGGTAGGAGGAACAGCACAGCCAGTTTACCTGGCTGGAAGTGCAACCAATTGCAGCCATCTTCACAGAATCATAAAATGGTTTGAGTTGGAAGGGACCCTTGCAGACCATCTGCTCCCACTCCCTGCACTGAACAGGGACACTCACAGCTCCATCAGTGCTCAGAGCACCATCCTGCCTAACCTGGGGTGTCTGCAGGGATGGGGCATCCACCACCTCTCTGGGCAACCTGTGCCTCGCTGCCCTTATCATAAAACACATTTTCCTTACGTCCAATCTAAATCTTCCCTCTTTTAGTTTGAAACCATTTCCCCATGTGTTATCACAACGAACTCTGCTGAAGATTTTGTCCCCTTCCTTCTTACAGATCTTTTAAAATACTGAATGGCCCCTTCAGGTCTCCCTGGAGCCTTCTCCTCTCCATGCTGCACAACCTCAGCTCTCAGCCTGTCCTTGCAGGGGAGGTGTTCCACCCCACAGCTCTGTGTCTCTCCCGTCCTTTATCCCCATGGACAGCTGGAGGCTGAGGACAGCAGGGTGCACACTGCACATGAATAGAGGGCAGCTCTGCACCGCTGCTAGGAGAGAAGCAAAGTCTCTATATTGTTTGACTAACAAACAGAGGAAATATCTGTAATCTCTCTTCCCTGCCACTCCTAGGGAGCTATCTTGCTGCCTTTCCTGTGGAGTCCTTTGCAGCTATTCTGCCTGTGGGAACTGCTGCCCAAAAGCATTATTTAAGCTTCAAGCAGCTCTCCTCGGGGGGTTTATAGATTCCTCTTTGGGGGCATCTGTCTCTCATAGCAGGAGGAATAAATAATAGTGATCACCAGGTGGTGTCTGCTTTGGGAGACGAGGTTGACGTGGCAGCTCCTCTCTTGCAAGAGCTCAGCTTGTAGAATCATAGAATGGCTTAGATTGGAAGAGACCTCAAAGATCATCTACTTCCAACCGCCCCACTGTGATAAAAATGAACAAATAAAAAAACAACCCATTCCTTCCTTCCTTAAAAACAGAAAGAACCAACAAAATAAAAATCCACAACCCTTGCCTAGACCCTGAACTGCACAGTTTGTTTCTGCTCAAGCTCTGCTACCAGCACCTTCTTCAGGAAGCCAGGGAAGCCTTGTTATGGGAGCTATCCATACAAACCATCTGCAGAGGAGATGATGTCCTAGGTGAAGGTGTTATTGCTGCCAGGAACTTATGGCCAAGCCAGGTAACTCAGCTTACAGAAACTCCTTACTCAGTAGAATGACATTTTTTCACATGCTCACTTACCTGCATTATAGAGATCCCATGCACCCACACTTTCTTCCATTACTTCCAAACTGTAATTTCTACTTGTTTAGAGAAACATTATGTTTCATCCCCTCGGTGCACATCCTTGTACTGTGCATCATTGTTTGCAACCCTTTTTAGCTCTTAAATTCTGGTATTTTTTTGGTCTGTGATAACGCCCTCTGCGGTGTCATTATGTCTGATATCTACAGCAATCATCAACTGCCTGCTCTTCCTTTAGTCAGAGCTATTAGATGTGTTTTGTAAGAGGGTCACAATGGGCTCCCCTTTGAACAACATTAGAAACTTTATTCCCATCCATCCGTTCCTCTCCAGGAAAACCCTCTTGTGGTCTCCATCCCGTTCTCAGCTGGATGCTTGGCTCATCTTCACAGCTTGGAAAAAAAATCCTCTTTTTCAGGGCCACATAAATAAGGTGCCAGACACGATGCTAACAAATAGTTCGCTGAGGTTTTGAGACAAAAGATCTCTTGTATTTGGCTTTCCCAGGGAAACTGCTTTTCTGAGGGGAGGAGGTATGGGAGGTGAACAGCCACAGCTGCTGTCAGGTAACGTGACAGTTTTTGAGCAACAGCCATCACAACAGAGTCCATCCTACTTGGATTTAAAGGCCATGGTGCAGATTAAAGACCCGATGGAGCTACCTTGAAATTCTCATTCTCAGGAGAGGGAACTGCTTTGGTGCAATGCACGCAAGAATGAAATGCCATCATAGAATCATAAAGGCTGGAAAAGACCTCTCAGATCAGCAAGTCCAACCTATCCCACCATGCCCACTGACCACGTCCCTCAGTGCCACATCTCCACAGTTGTGGAACACCTCCAGGGATGGTGACCCCACCACTCTTTGGGCAGCTTTGCCACTGAAGAATTCTCACCACCTGAGAACGAGCCACAAGTTATCCATCTTTTTAGAGATCTTCCAAGGGCAGTTTTCACATGACTGGGTCTGGAACCACTGTGCCAAGTGCTGGTTTTATTGATGTGATGACAGAGATTATTCTATTCTCTGTATCATAAGCACTAAAGCTGCAGCTGCTGAGAAGAACTGCTCCAGGCTGTCTTAACAAACATCTTGGCTGGTGAATACAGAAACATAGCATCATAGAATGGTTTGGGTGGGAAGGGACCTTTAAGATCATCTGGTTCCAAACCCCCTGGTAGAGGCAGGGACATCTCATAGCCTTCTCCATCCCTGTCCTGATCCAAATTCAGCCTTAGTGATTTTTCACATGAGCCGATTTCCATTCTATTGATTGAGAGAATTAATTGTATCACCCAATTCTTCAGATTCTTCCTGCCTTGAATGAGACACTCAGAATCCTGCAGGTTTTATTGATGTCCGTTATAAATGAAT